TCATATCCGAGAGCTTGTGATGCTTTCAAATGTTGTGAACGGTGTTCTTTTGAATGAAACTAGAAACTGGAAGGGGTGGGGCTTGTTTATAGCTAGACTTTAACTCATTTACCCAACTACTACTATTAACCAGCAAACCAGTTAGGTTAAACAGACGTGGCTTCAAATACAAACATGTTCCCCACATATGACATCCAAGCTTTACAATTAACCTGTATGCCATTTTGTGTTTTGTAAAATAAACCATGCTGAAGTCAATAATTGGGTTCCAAACTTTAAAATGTGGATTTAAAAACAAAACTCTACAAACCACATTTGCAAACCAGTTTCATCTAAAGGTGAAATATAGGTGTTAAACCAAAAAGCTGAATTTTAAATGTAAGGTTAAATCTAAACTCATCTTTTGCGACGTGACTATTTGAGGGCCAGTCTGTAAACGAATTGCCTAATTTTAATCTTAAATTGATTTCAAAGATGTTTTGAATCCAGGGTGCAGACAGCTTGATTTGAAGAGGTACAATATTTTGTTATCAAATCAGTCTGAAGCTTCAGATTTTCCACTGAGGGGTTAAAGGAGGCCTGACTGGGTCTGAACACCACACACGCATAAGTGCACTGTAGCTTTGACTTAATTGGCAGTTGCTTTAATCCCAGTTACGTTAAGGCTGATTACATTTAATTTGATTCATTTTCTTTAAACTCAAATGTAATCATCAATCATATGGTTCTTTTATTTGTTAATAAATTTTAAAGTAGGGTACATTAAAACTGGGAAGACAAGGAATAACAAAAAGCTTTCCATTGTCCCTCCAATTCTTTAAGTTAAAATGCTACATAGTCCACATTAAAAGGATACCATTTCAGTTATGATGGATTTGCTTCACTTAACTCAGGAGGAACACAGGTGTTGAAACTCACTCTGATCAACCTTTCTAGAACAAGGTCATTTATTTCAGAGTTACTCGACTCCTCTTACTAGTTTATAATGAAACATGAGCTGGCTTGGGTTACCACGTTGAAACAATGATTCTGAGTTCCCACTGCTCAGAAAACATTAAAGATATTAAATAGGCTGAACTCAGTTTTTATCAATTTGTTATCAGAACTCGATTTAAATAAGTTACCAGTACTTTTTATGCAAAAACGCTGATAAACTCAGTTTGAGTT